TTTGATATAATATTAGCATCACGTTTTTCCATTCCATGTTCTCTTATGAAATTTGCAAACTCGCGAAAATGCCCTTTCTCTCTTAAAAGCTGACACCCTTCATCCGTTTTTGTTAATTCACCATAAAAATGGGCAGGGGAGATTCCATCAAACATACTTCTATCATGTATGTATAAATAAACTTTTCAGAAGACCCTTCAGAAATATAATGACATAAATAATTAATCTTTTATAATTAACTCACATTTTCACGTCTTTATCATCATCATCACCTCGCGCTTCCTCTCCATCAAGTTTTAATGCATTTGATAAAGATACTTCAAGTTGTGTCACATAATATTGGTTGCCACTCTATACTTCCACACAGAACCAGCAGATTAGTAACATTTTCGTTGATAATGATAACCTTATAACTTCGTTATTTTTACTTATAACAACCTGAAACCAATCATCCATTTCTTTTTCCACGTAATCAGATTCTGATAGATATTTAAATCCGATTGAAGTGGACAGAAACCTTAACAAAAGTGGATTTCCAACTTCTCCCAAGTTGTCCAAGCTAGGTCGCAATTTCACAAGTAACTCTATATTTTCTTTGTGATTACATGTCTCTTCCAAAACACGCACTGCCATTTGACAAACTTCCATTGCAGGATCATACAACTATAAACTTATTTATTAGTCTTTTTTGATGTTTCCGATTAAAGTGTAATAATTTATTATTCTAACCTGTGTTATAAGTAGTTGTATTGCCCACTCATTAAATTTTTGGACTGACGTTCGCAGGATTAAGCCAAGGTGTTTTGTGGCATATAATCGTATGCGCTTGATATAAATCATGCAATCATTAAATTATAGTTTAAAATAACAATACAATTAGATAAAATTACTCACCTTATAACCGGAAGTCATAACTTTAGAAAGAAGAATTCGTGGATGACCATCTCTAATGGCGTATAAAATAAATAAATAAATAACGCAGAACATAATATTTTTAAACATTTTTCGCATATAAATTCAACGCACAAATTATAGTCCAGATTTGTAATTACGGATTTTATCAAATCTTCACGGCTTTTCAGTTCGCTTAGTTGGTAGAACGTGTTAAAAATTTTGAATTTCTCCAATAGCCTTTATAAGTAATTATAAATTATATCAAACATTAATAATAAACTAGATTAGAACATAAATAAATAAATAAAAGAAAAAAACTTCACTTGACCCCATCTTTGCATTTGCTAAGTATTCCTATCATAGTGAAGTAGCCACATGTCAATGTATTATTAATTCGTTCCTTAGAAAAAAACTCCGATTCAAACCCCGTATTCATCTGGTTAATTATATATAAAATGCATTATATGAAAGTTTCCGAGCAAGTTAAAAAAAAAAAAAAAAAAAGAGTATTAAATACCGGTGGTACAAGTTGATTTAAATTATCCGAAATCTGCCTCAAGAATTTGTTGCTTTCTAAATATTTGACACCATCAAAATTCGCAAGAAGAGTCGTTATAAGCGTGCATCCTAATTGAACATAGCGTTCACTTTCCTAACGTATGAAGATTCCGATTGTCGAATTGAAGGAATAAATAAACAATAATGTTCACCAATTTAGATAATTGCTCATATAAATACCAGGTCTTTCTCGATTTCAGAAAACCGTCGGCTATTTGGTCTGAAAAAACCAATTAATCGTTTCATAAATTTGGATCTTATTGCCTCTTCTAATCGACGAGGGTTTAATAATGGACCTTGCAATAATTCCATAGTAGTTTCCCAGTTCCATTTGAGATAATCTTTAGTACTGAGAACCTAAATTTAATAAAATAAATAATTAGATTTGACATTTCAAATATTGAAAATGAGAATATAGACCTACCTGGGTCTCTAAAAGCATATTTCTAAAATGGACGTCATCAATTTGTATACCCATTTTAAGTTTTACATTTTCAACTTGACGCGCATTACGTCTTCGTCGATTTGGTGAGCTAATAGATGTGTCATCTGATTCTCCAATGTTTGGTTGAAAACGATTCCGCGTACGATTCAAATTATCAATATGTGAAAGCGCAGCAGTGGCACTGTGTCGTACAATTTCATCGTCAAATTTTGTGGCTAAACTGAAGAGTCTAGGTAGAGACTGACAACAATATGGTGGTATATAATTAACTCATTTCTAATTGAAAACCAAAATCGCGTGCCATACCTGTATTTTCATCGAGCGAGACAAAGATAATAACCGATTAGACAATTGAAGAATTTCACCAATAAAAAGAGTAGCTTTACGCGCGTTATGTTGATTTTTGTCTTCAATAATCTCAACCAAAGCCTACGTGTTTGAAATTTATGTTAATAACTCAAGATATATTTGTCACAGATTTAAGCAATTTCACATACATCAAGGAGCCCTGCGTCAATAAAGATATCTAATAATATAACCAAATGATGGTCCAATAAATTCAGCCTGTCTTGGCATGAAGAAGAAGGAGGTGGTAGTTCTCCATTATTGTTGTTTTCAGGTGTTAGTAGTCCATATACTATCGTCACAAATAAATTGTTTTAAATATTATTATATGCGTGTACTTAATTAACTTATAATAATTCGGAACATACCTGTGATCCTTTTTCCAGATAAAAAGCTTGGATACCAGTGTGGTATCTTGATTCGAAAAATGTTAAAAAACATATCAAGCATGATTTCCTAATTATTGTCAAAAAAAGTTCTAATTGAATAAGAAACGCTTGGTCATATACAGTTCAAAATTTTATCAATAAAAATAAGTAACAGGATAAATAATAAATGATAAGTAAATCTGACACCTACTAACCCGCGTTTCATCCGATGTTATTCTTAGAGATTCAACAATGGATCTTATTGCTTGTTTATTATCCATGCACAAATATATAATTCCTGTCCAAGACTTCAGCAGAACAGATATAGCCCTTGAACTAGCTCTTATCTGCTGGTCAAATTTTGGTCCTTTGTTGCATGCGTCAGTAAATCCTGAAAGAACAATCTAAAATAAAGTCATTATCATGAATTAATTAAAATGACCTAATATATATGTATTAGATAATAACAAACCTCCAAATCCACACCAGGTCTTATACAATCTCGGGAATCTGGCATATCAATTATGTATAGTAGTGCCATCATTAGGTATTCCGAAAGTTCAAGAGGACCATCAATTAAAGCTTGTAATAGTACTCTCATCCCACCGCCATGAGTTATTAATTTTGGTTCACGAATCACTAATGAAAAGATTTTATTGAATAAGTTTACAAACATTCCCTAATTAAATAAAATTTTATCAATATTATTCATACTTATTTCTGCCAAAGTTTCTAAACATATGTTCCGTAGTTTTTCATCTGGAAGTTCAGCTATAGAAACAATAGATCGTAACACACCAAGCGGTATATATTTTGTCCCGCCTGGTACATCAGCAAAAGTTCGTATAATTTTCAATACCTGTTCGCGCTCATCATTGTATACACGTGGGTCTTTTGCCAAAGACCTATCAAAAACGTAATAATCCCATGTAAATTTTAGTTAACTGAACAGTGTTATTGTAATAACTTTCATAAACTCACCTCATTATAAATATTTCATAATGCAAATTTATTATTTTTTCTAGAGTGGTGACATCTGCGATCAAATATCGTAATGCACGATACCCAGCAATTCTTACTTCCTTCACTGAGTCCGATACACAAAATCTCAATCTGATCGAGAATTTTATAAGACAGTTATCATGAAAAACAAATTGATAAACTCACACATTTTTAACGACGTACCCCCTTAAAAAAGGTTCAGCGTCATATGTATATTTTAATCTTTCGTGATTTTTTATTAATCGCACCAAGCTCCCTAATTTTTCGACGCGCGTTGCGGGTTCTTCTGTTTGATCTTGGATACAAGTTAGAACGTCATGTATTATCTCTGCAGGTGTTCGCGTCTTGTCTAATTAAAAAATGTTCAACTGTTACATTATCATAATTCTAACATTTAATTCTCAAAATGATAGTGATAAGAAATGATTGTGAACCTTCGTCTCTTTCGACATCTGATTCTATTTGTCGAATGAGATTCCTTCGGACACGTACTGAATGATCGGACGGAAATATACCACGACGTTGATATGACTTCTCGCCCCCAGCTAATTTATCATTGTAAATTTAAGATTACTTGAATAAAAAAGTTCGTTTTTGTCCTGAATATTGAGAGCGCAACATGAACAAGTTACCATCGGCCATTTCTGTCATGACTTCCAATTTTGGATTTTCACCTCTGATTCAATTTTTCATAAGAAACGCTAGTAATAATATGAGATAGCCACGGACAATAATTCAAAGCTTAACTACAAAAAAACTTA